ATTCTGAGGCAAATGATGGACAAGAAGTACAAATGGGAAATGAAGTGCGATCCAAAGTTGTTGGAACCGGAACGGTCGAACTCAACTTCACTTCTGGAAAGAAAGTTACTCTTGTTAATGTGCTTCATGTCCCAGACATGAATAGGAATCTTGTTAGTGGGGATTTATTGGGAAAACCGGGTATTAAATCTGTGTATGAATCGGGCAAACTTATTTTGACCCGTAATGGTGTGTTTGTTGGAAAAGGATATTCCGCTGAAGGAATGATCAAACTATGTATTACTGATAACATGATTAATGAAATTTCTAATTCTGCTTACATGCTTGATTCAGTTACTTTATGGCACAATAGATTAGCACATATTGGTATTAGTTCAATGAAGAGACTAATTAAACTTGGCTTGATATCATGTAATATCAAAGATTTCAATAAATGTGAATTATGTGTTAAATCAAAAATGATTAAGAAACCTTTCAAAAGTGTTGAAAGAAATACAAATCTGCTTGATCTTGTGCATTCAGATTTGTGCGAATTTAATGGCATGTTGACCCGTGGGGGAAATAGATATTTCATTACATTTATTGATGATTGTTCTAGATACACTTATGTATATCTCTTAAAGCATAAAGATGAGGCTTTTAATGCCTTTAAGAGTTACAAAGCAGAAGTGGAAAATCAATTAAGTAGAAGTATAAAAGTCCTTAGGAGTGATAGGGGCGGTGAATACTTTTCTACTGAGTTTGATGCGTTTTGTGAAGAACATGGTATAATACATGAATGTTCGGCACCTAGAACACCACAACAAAATGGCATAGCAGAAAGAAAGAATCGAACATATCAAGAAATGATGAACGCCATGTTATTGCATTCCGAACTACCTTTCAATTTGTGGGGCGAAGCTCTATTATCCGCTTGTCACATAATAAATAGAATTCCCTTAAAGAAAAGTGGAATTTCTCCATATGAGGTATGGAAGGGCATGACACCAAGTATTGGCTATTTTAAGGTGTGGGGGTGTGTGGCATATTACAAAAACATGGATCCTAAGAGAACCAAGTTGGGTCCTCGAGGGATAAGATGTGCATTTGTAGGATATGCACAAAATAGCAAAGCATATAGACTGTTAAATTTAGAGTCTAATATTATTGTTGAATCCCGGGATGTAGAATTCTTTGAAAACCTTATAACTAAGGATAAAGAATCAGAGTCGGCCATAAATAAAGAATCTTGTGAAAAAGACTCTTCTCAGATTGTAGAAATACAACCTGAAGACACATCTCGAATAAATGAACCACTACCCGAACCTAGGATAAGCAAAAGAGTCCGGAAAATAAAGAACCTAGGACCAGACGAAATTGATTCTCAATCCATTTCATTTTATCTGGTTGAAGGAAATAGTACAAATTTTATTAAAAGCATTCCGGTAATTCTTCAAGTAGGGGAAGATCCTAAAACTTATAAGGAAGCAATAGCTTCAAGAGACTCCTCCTTTTGGAAAGATGCTATCCGAGATGAAATGGATTCAATTATGTCCAACCACACTTGGGAACTTGTTGATTTACCAAAGGGATCAAGACCCATTGGATGCAAGTGGGTGTTTAAAAAGAAATATCACAGTGATGGTACATTAAACACTTATAAAGCAAGATTAGTGGCAAAAGGATTTAGACAAAAGGAAGGTATAGATTATTTTGACACTTATGCACCTGTAGCGAGAACAACCACTATAAGGTTGTTATTTGCTTTAGCATCTTTAAATGATCTGATTGTTCATCAAATGGATGTTAAAACAGCATTCCTAAACGGAGACCTCGATGAGGAAATCTACATGGAACAACCAGAAGGACACGTCCTTCCTGGTAATGAACAGAAGGTGTGCAAACTTGTCAAATCTCTATATGGCTTAAAACAAGCACCAAAACAATGGCATCAAAAGTTTGACTCTACGATAATGTCAAATGGATTTATTCCTAATTCTTGTGACAAGTGTTTATATACAAAAGTGTATAATAACACTGTAATATTTTTGTGTCTTTATGTTGATGACATGCTAATAATTAGCAATAGACTTAATGGAATTCTAGAAACAAAAAGGTTTCTAACTTCCACTTTCAAGATGAAAGATCTTGGGCTTGTTGACACAATTTTAGGAATAAAAGTTAAGCAAAACAGTGGGGGTTATGAACTTAATCAAACACATTATATTGAGAAAATGCTTGATAAGTTCAAACACCTAAAATTCAAGGAAGTAACTACTCCATTTGATCATGTAATCAAACTTGAAAAGAATGATGGAAGAGCAGTGGCTCAATTAGAATATGCAAGTGCGATCGGATGTCTTATGTACTTAATGCAATGTACTAGACCCGATATATCATTTGCAGTTAGTAAAATGAGTAGATTTACTAGTAATCCAAGTAATGAACATTGGAAGGCAATCACGAGGATATTTGGTTATTTGTTGAAAACCAAAGATCTTGGCCTTCATTATGGTAGGTTTCCTGCTATATTAGAAGGATATACCGATGCCAGTTGGATCTCTGACGTGGGAAATCACAAATCTACAACTGGGTGGATTTTTACACTAGCTGGAGGAGCAATCTCTTGGAAGAGCAAGAAACAAACATGCATTACTCTTTCGACCATGGAATCAGAATTCGTGGCTCTCGCTTCCGCTAGTCAAGAGGCAGAGTGGTTGAGGGATCTTCTTTTGGAAGTTCCATTGGCTAAAGACAATGTTTCAAAGGTAATGATACACTGCGATAGTCAGGCCACTTTGGCAAGAGCATTTAGCGAAGTGTATAATGGAAAGTCCAGACATATAGGACTTAGACATTCGTTCGTAAGAAAACTGATTAAGGATGGAATCATTTCACTTACGTATATACGAACAAGCTATAATTTGGCTGATCCGTTTACTAAGCCGCTGGCCAGAGACTTAGTAAGAACAACCTCGAGAGGTATGGGGTTGAAACTCCTTGAGTAAGAGTTCCGACAATGGCGGCAACCCAATCTTAAGTTAACAGAACATTAACGTTAAGATTTTCAATGGGTAACAACAAGTCGTTGATTTGGATAATTGTCTAACATTTCATAATTATGTTGACATTAGAAAAGAGGGTTGAGTTTTATCTTAAACTCTTAATGAAGTTCAATACCGAGGGTACGTATCTATTGGAAACAGATACTATATGAACTTCACCTATGTGAATTATGAGATGGTGCCGTCTCAAAGTGAGAGTTGGAGTTTCTCTCATGAAAAATTCATGAAACAGGATAGCACATGGCCATAAATAAGTGCTAAGCGAGTTATGCAGAGGAAGAATCTTTAAGGAGTGTGTGTAAGGTAACACCGGTCTATTCATATGGATTCATGGTTTAAAAGCATTGCTACCTAATATTCCGATTAAACCTTGTGTTATTCTTACTAAGGTTAAGTTTAAAATCGAAAGATACTTAACTGTATTAATACTTCTTATGTCCCATTTCTGGAATTATTATTTTGTCATTATTAGAACAAGTGGGGGATTGTTGGAAATAATAATTTATTTCCATTAATGTTGTTCCAAAATGACAAAGTGGGTGTTATAATAAATGCTTAGTCCCACATTGGAAGAGGAGTAAAATTAAATAGCATTTATAAGGCACTTGGAACAATGTAATTTCCAAAAGAGCCAAAAAGGATAAAGTGCCACATAGTCACATGTGGTGGTGCCAAAACTTATGTCACTTGTCTCATACAAAACACCCCTCGCCGGTGTCGCCACCGGCGACACCGGCTCCGGCTCCGGCTCCGGCTCCGGAACCGGATCCGGGGGCGTGGGCGTGGGCGTAGAGGCGCTAGTGGCGGCTTGTAGACGGCACTTGAGCACTTGAGCACTTGAGCACTTGGGCACGACGCATCGGAGCAATCGGGCTATTCGCGGCGCTCCGGCCGCCTCCGGCGGGCGGACTGCGAATTTAATTTTTAATTATCGCTCAGACTTATTCGTTGCCTAGAGTTTGATTTTGAATTTAATTTTTAATTATCGCTCAGACTTATTCGTTGCCTAGAGTTTGATTTTGAATTTGAATTTGAAATACATGACACTTGACGAAGTGGTGCATGATATTTTATGTGAACCATTGCAAATGCTCATTAGAGAGTGTGTTTATGAAGAATTGCAAACTTCTGAAAAGACACATGCATGGCTATAAATATATGCTTCATAATTCGAAATCATTCACTCCAAAAAATTCTGAAATCCTCTTCCATATAATTCCAACATTTTCCTTGCATTCGAAACTTCATCAGTCTTGTGCAGTTTCGAGAAAAAGGCTGACTTATCCTGGGTATTCAGGCCGTTCCAACTCTAAGACAATCTGAGAGTGTGCTTGAAATACTTTTAAGGAAAGTGATTTCGTTCACGATTCAGTCTGGATCCATTCGACATAGAAGGATTATCTAACATCACTTTACTACTTTTTAAAAAAATACTCGTTTTTTATTCGTACGCGACAACGAATCAAATTGACGCCGTTGCTGGAGATTCTTGTTGATGTTAGCCAACAGATTCCGGCCCAGTCCAGAACAATATATATATAAAACATGATCAACAGTTATTATAACATTTTAAAAGTATCTTATTATATATTTTATTATATTGTTATTATAATCTATAATAATACAGTTGAGTATTCATAAAATATATATAAATGAATAAATATAAGACGAAATAAGTTAGGAAGTCTATAGATGAATTAAAAATAAGTATATTAATAATAAAATAAAAATATTACTTATAGTTATCTAAATAAATCGGTTAGTTTAAATCAAAAGATTTGTTTGTAGCATATAGTATAAATTTTCTTGATACAAATTTTGAATAAAAAATAGAGTAATCTAACATGATTTAGGTCAGACCTAACTTTCATGTACATAGGTTTTCAGAAATAACGGCAGACTGTGTATATATTGCTATCGTTAACTCCATTCCACTATTTACAAAGTCACTCAGATATGAAATTTCTCATTCAGAAAACAAACCCTAACATCTCCAATTCCCTTCCCACTCTTCCTATTGATCTAATTTCAGAAATACTCTCTAAGCTATCTGTGAAGCACCTTCTCCAATTTCGATGTGTCTGTAAATCATGGAATTCTCTAATATCAGATCATAGATTCGCCAGAAAGCACCTTAACGGATCAACCACACGGATCAGCCTCCAATGTGTAAGCTATCATACGCCCTCATCCCGTTTTTTTCTAAAGTCTTATCCAATTCAATCCCTTTTCCCAGACATAACCACTCACTTCACTCCACATGAGTTTTCATATAATTTTATTTTTAGAAATTATATACATTACATTGTTGGCTCTTGTGACGGAATCGTTTGTCTCGCCAACTATTATAAACCTTCTGTTGTTCTGTGTAACCCTTCCATTAGAAAATTCAAGGAATTGTCCCCTTTTGATAACCCACCGGTGAATAGTCAGCTTAATATGACATGTGGATTCGGTTATGATCATGTTTCTCGTAGTTACAAAGTGGTTGTTGTTTACTATTTCTATAACAAAGGTACTTCTGAAAACACAAATAAAGTAAAAGTTCATACTTTGGGTACTAATTCCTGGAAAAGCATTCAAATGTTTCCTTCTGATACTGTTTTCACTGAGAAATCTGGAAAATACCTAAGTGGCACAATTAATTGGGTAGCCTTTGTTAAAGGGCGTCGTAGTGATCCACCCTTTATTGTTTCATTTGATTTGGATAAAGAGTCTTATCAGAAGGTTTTTCTTCCGGATCCTGGAGAGATAGATGTGTTTAACTTGACATTGTGTGTGTTGAAGGACTGCTTGTGCATACTATCTGATCATGATGTTTGGGTCATGAAGGAATATGGAATTAAAGAGTCTTGGATTAAATTGTTCGACTTTTCTTGCTTGCGAGATCCAACTAAGACTTCTATCTTGACAAATGTATTATATATTTGTGAAGTGGATCATATGTTGTTAGAGTTTAGCTATCATGAGAAAAAGAAGTTGATACTGTATGATTCCAAGAATGGTACTTTTAACAATGCTGCTATATTTCAACACACCTTAGAAGTTTGTGCTGAGAGTTTAGTATCACCTTGTTTTTAATGCTAAAATGTCATGGATTATAATGTTGGCATTGTTTCTTGATTCTGAACTTGTATTGTTCTGGAGCTTTGTATTATTGAATGATCAAATTGTATCCCTATTATTGCATGGTTGTTATTCTTGAATGATTCTTTCTTTCAAACACTGTTGTGTGTCCTACTTATTGTGATTTTCTTAGGCATTCATGGCTTCTCTTTTGGTCTCTACAAATTTGTAGTTGTAAATCCTTGAGATCGTAACCTTTTTGTACAATAAATAAATACAGTTGGGAGAAGTTGATATGAACAATGTTATGAATGCAATAGCAGAGAGAAGATACTAGCTAAATTCTAATAGGCAACAACTAGCAATTATTATTATTCAAATTCCTCATATTTCCCTTATCTTTATTTATGTGCAAAGGTACCATAAATAATACTACCTAGACTTCTAACAGATTTTTTAGTGAGTCAATTTAACAACTTTATGAATCATAGCTAGCGGAATAATCTAAACTATACATCACTTCTTACTGTTATTTTTCTATTTATCATTGTCGTGGCGCAAAAAAATCACTCAAAAATATTCGAGTGAATGAGCGTTTAAAATCAACAAGAGTTGTTATTGAATTTTTTTTTTTAAATGTTGATAAAACTCTAAAAGAACAAAAGTATGATAATCGCAACCAAATCTAAATTCAGAAGTCGATTATGCGCGAGAAAGGTATTAGCACCCTGCAACATCTGTTGTAACCAAAGTATGATAATCGCAACCAAATCCAGAATGTTTGACAAAATATTGAATCATGCTCCTACTTATTTCTAGGTACGATGCGAACTCAAAGTTACGTAGTTTTAGGTAATAAATGTTTATTAGTTAGTTGATTTTAGTAGACGATGTTTAGGTCTCGCTCGAGCGTTGTTTACTTGTCACGTTTCTTTAAACTGACGTTAAAATCAACATCGACTGGACCCTGGACTTAATTTTTAGAATTGAGGCATGTACACCGACCTCAACGCTATGCCAACGCTTAAATCCATTAGCCTTGATTTTTTGCCTTTTAGCGAGGGCGTTTAAGTGAAAATTTAAATAAGAAAATAGGATTATAGGATTATAGAATTTGCTATATAGTAAGATGTTAAATAGAATTTCTTTTGTAATTGGTTTTTATTAATATAACATGAAATAAATTTTCTCGGATGAATTATTTGAATTTAATAAAAAATGATATAATAGTTTAATATTTATTATACTTTCTCATGGTTCAAAATATAATGTAAAACATTTTTAAAAAATAAGTTTTATTTTAGTATTAATAATATTTCTAAATTATATTAAAAAGTAAATTTATAAATTTATTCTATTTTGATATAATAAAAATTATATTTATTGAAGTTTTAGTAACAGTTAAAAGGAAATAATCTGTAGGTATAATTTCAATTACTTGTATAATATACAGTGACATTATTGTAATTGTATGAAATTTTTTTACCGTAATTAAAAGTTATTATGTCATTTAATTTACCATCATACCAAGTCCTCTTATAATTGACATTAAAATTTGGTGTTACTCAAAGTCCTACAAACATTTACCTACATATCATTAGCTTTTAGCGACAATTATTGAATGTTACAAAAAAAATCAATTTTCTTGTAAAGTTATACGTGTTAGTTCTCTTTTTATAATATTATTATTAATTATGTAATAAAGCTAGTTTAACAAGGTTTTAATAAAAGAATAAATTATAAATTTTAAGAGGGTAACGCTAACTTGTGTTTTTAGGACACAAGTTAAGAACTAAATGTAAAAATAATATTTTAAAAATTGTGTATTATTTTTAATAAAAATAAAAAATTTAATTTTTATTGATGTTTTCAATACAAATTTTATATAAATGTATTTTTTAACTTGTGCCCCAAGAACACAAGTTAGCGTTATCTATTTTAATAAGATAATCTACTTTAATCATCTAAAAGTTAGATTAACAAGGTTTTAATAAATTAGAATAATACATGTTTAATTTCAATAAAAATTCATTCAACCATCTTCATAGAAAATTGAATTAAATCAATTCAAATTGCTCTTTAGAACTTATAGGATATTTAAAGACATCCTTGGTGATAGGGAAGACATTTGCTACTTCCAATAAAAACTCATCATGAAAAGGAAGAGCAAATTACATAAATAACCACTTAATAAAAATAATAGAAATTACCGTAACATATTGTTTGCCTCTTCCTTTTCTGATCCACTACTTTCACCTATTTTAATGCTCTCTTATTTTCCATGACTTTCATGTCCATCTCCTAAACATGGTTTCAAGAATATTTCAATAAACATCTCATGTTAAAGTAAAATAGTCATACAAATAGCTCATGGTATGGACAAAGTTTAACATACACTTATAACATGTAAACATGCATCAAAAAGGCATAAAACTTAAGCAAAACACAATGTACAAGTTCATAAAGTCATACATGGTTTCTATAAGGTGTGTAGGGTTCACACAAATTAACATGTACAAGAGAAACTAGGGAATCATTCAAGAGAATCAAGAGGAAACCATGAAAATCCTAAAATTGTCATACACTTTGAACACTCATAAATACATCAAAAATAAATACTTTTGGTAATTTCCTTTCACAAACAGAAAATACACAATGTCAAGAACAATTTGCAAAAAAATGGTCTCAAAATGATTAAAAATGAGAAAGTTATGATCAAATGAAGTTACAAATAAAATTAAGAAAGTAAGTGATAAAAAGATGGGAAGGGTTCCCATGGGTGTTGAACCCATGACATTTTGCCTACAGGTCAAAACACTAGCCAGTCCAACCACACGCACATGGTGATAACAAAGAGAAAGCAAGGCATAATATGTGTTATTCAGTTGGATAATCAGAAAAATAAAAGAACTGGGGCGTGGGAGGATTCGAACCCCAGTTCAGGCTGTGACAAGGTACTAATGCGCGCAGGTAAAACCACTGGGGTGGTGATGCGTCCATTGTATCACCCTCATCTATTAAATGATATGCCTAGGGAGCTTGGTCTGGTCAGAACAAAAGGGCGTCCATGGCATGTTTGGCTGGGTAAGACACAAGGTTTGTGTCACTTTGCAAGAAGGTCATAACTCCTTCATTTCTCCATGAAAATGGATGAAACAAAGATCAATCTCACCTAGAATTTCCTAAGGAATCCAATGGTGGTGTTAGATTTTGCTAAAAATGGTTGTATTTCAAAACACGATAGTAAGACCTAAAATGACATGTTTTTGCAAAATATATCTCAAGTCCATACACAGTCAACAATAGCACTCAAACGTAGTTCAAACACAACATAAATGACATAGAAAACATGCTCAAACTCAGTGTACAACAAAACCATGCATTTTTAACAAGGTTCAAAGCTTTAGTGCACTTATGTATTGAAGTTCACTTGCCAACTTTCAAGATCCTTGTTACAGAAGTAAACCAATGTCTTGGACACCTCAAATGCACCTCAAAGAAACTTCTTGGATGCTTGGAACAAGAGGAAAACTTTTAGGACAACAACTAGCTTCTTCTTGCAAAATAGTAAAAAATGACCAAAATGGAAACTCTACCAAATGATGTTACAGTTGAGAAACTATTGTTGGAACAATTTAAGGATGTTATTTAGAGGGTGTTTGAAATGTTGGATGATTTGGAAATAGACAGAATCAAGACATGGCTTGTGAAATGCGAAAAGTCAAAGATTTGAGGTTTTGACAGTTAACTTTCTAATTCTGGTGTTTGGAGGGGAAGATGAAGGTTTGGACACCTTTAAGGGATATTTATAATGTGTTTGGGTGGTTTTTTGAGTGGTTTAAGCTCTGGTTTTGAAAACTCGATTCTCACTTTTTGGAAATTTGAAATTTTGAAGTGAAAGAGGAAGAATGAGAAAACAAGTGTTGTGATTGTTTTAGTGTGTTTTGAGACATCATATGTGGTCTCTATTTATAGGGGAGAAAGTCTTTTTTGGAGGAATAGTGATGGTTTGAAGGATGAGCACAATGTTCAATGGTTTTGAAAATGCATCATTACTTCCAACTTAAGGTACCTTATCTCTTCCACTAGCCTAACTCTTCTTTTGACCAATTCCACATTCTGCAGAGGCGTTTATTGTTGTTTAAGAGTGCATCTTGAATAGTGAGAGTGGTTTCTTTAAGAATGCATTATTCCACATAAATGCCTTTTGAGTTCAAGGCTTAAAGTAATAATGTCTCATCATTTCAAAGGGATTCCTTTTGACTTAGTGACTCTATCTTGCAGGTTTTGGATGATTAATTCAGATTGTTTTTGAATTATCTTGGCATGATCATCACACTTGGACTCAAGAAATCGTGTACCATAAGTAATGCCAAACATGCCTTACCAAATCAACTTCATCAAGGCATGTTGTGGACTCCATATATCCTAGCTCAAGTAAGGTATTTTGATGCTCTTGATCATTTTAGAAATATGGTCTAATGTACTTTAAGTTTGATGTTTGAGGTTTGTTTTGAATCATTGTGGATCATCTAGAAAAATAACCTCAAAGTTGGCAAAAACAAAACAGATTCTGTCAAAAAAATTTCTAAGTGTCAAGGTTCAAAAAGTCTTGAAACCCTAACTTCATGGCTTCATATCTCAAAATCTATGCATTTTTTGGGAAACCACCCTAATTGACAAAGTTATAGTATGATCTTTGGATCAAAGAAAATGGTTGCTTGGTTTGGAAGTTATTCCTTTGCAAAGTTTGCACCAAATTAGGGATTTCTTCATAACTTAGAAAATTTTTCATTTCTTCATGGTTGGCCTCTTTACAAGTAACCTCACTTTTCTTGATTTTTCTTGATCAATCATGATTCAAATCACATATTAACATTTTTCTTGACTTGAAGAAACCATGGTTGACCAAAAACTTCAAAAGTCAAACTTGATTTTGGACATAGTTGACTTTTGTATCAAATAAACTTTGATTTTGTGATCTCTTATTGAAATCAAACCCTTGGCCTATTTGAACATCATGGATGGACTCCAAAGGTGTTATTGAATGTCTTGAATCATATCCCAAGGTTTGAGATCATGTCTTGGTCAAAAGTCAAAGGTACAGTTGACTTTTCATCAAAACCCTAGTTTGCGGCCCAAATGAATTTGAATTCTTGCCTTGTTTATGAATCAAGTTATTTGGATCAATCAAATCATATGAATGGACTAATATAAGGCATTTGATTTACTTGAAACTTATCTTGAGTTATTGGCTCATGCCCAGATGAAAAATTCACTTTGGAGGCCCTGATCAACCAAAACCCTAATTGGTGAACCAAATGAACTTGGGGCTTGATTGACTTGAAATGATGTATACTTGTGCTAGACTCTTGATGGATGAGATATTTTGATCTTCATTAGATGAATAAGGTACATGGCAAGTTAAAGATCATTCCCCTTCTTGATTGATCCTTTGGCTGAGTTTCTTTTAAGGGTCACAACTCTAATTCAAAAATCAAATGAAACAAACAACAATATTTGTATTTCCAAATGGGTTAGTGATGCATAAATGTATACACATGTATGATGCTAATGAAATGCAAATTATGTGTGATCTTAGGATAAAAAAATTAGGGTATGACAGCATGATAGAGTCTTCACATCTGCACTGGGTTAAGACACATCAGAAAGAGTTAAGAGTAGATATGTACAACTGTCTTACAGATGTTGTACTCAAGGTAGAAACCAATCCTTCAACATCAGGAAGAAGGATTTTATTACCCTCATCATTTACTAGTGGAGCACGTTATATGCTTCAAAATTATCAAGATGCCATGGCAATTTGTAGATGGGTTGGATATCCAGATTTATTCATCATATTTACTTGCAATAAAATATGGCTAGAGATGTAGAGAGTTGTAACAAATATGGGACTAAAATCAGAGGATAGGATAGATTTAGTATGTAGTATTTTTAAGATTAAACTTGATAATATGATAAAGAATACAAAAAAGGGAATTTGTTTGCAAAGGTTAAGTCAGGTATTTATTAAATAATCATTACATTATTTATGCTTTAGAATCAAATTTATGTATTATTATTAATCTTATTTATCGTTGGTCATTTTGTATTATTCAATATCAAATATTAATCATGTTTTTAATGTGCAGTAATATACAAAATTGAGTTTCAAAAGCATGGATTACCTCATGCCCACATCTTGATCTTCCTTTATCCGCAATTTTGACATCCACATCCTCATGATATTGACAAGATAATATCTGCTAAACTACCCGATAAAAAAATTGAACATGAGCTGTTTAAAAGTATGTCCACTCTTATGATTCATGATCCATGCGGAGTACAAAATAAAAAATCTCCGCGTATGCAAAAAGGGAAGTGTACTAAGTTTTTCCTTAAAAAGTTTCTTAAAAATACCACCATTGATTCAGAAGGATATATAGGGTACATACGGAGGGACAATGGTATATTTATTTAAAAAGGTGACTCCTTCATTGATAATAGGTTTGTTTTACCGTATAGTAAGTATCTTTTGTTGAAATACAATACACACATGAATGTTGAGTGGTGTAACCAATCACGTTCCATAAAATACCTCTTCAAGTATGTCAACAAAGGTCATGATCGGATTACAATGACATTTTATAATAGCGATATTGATCAAGAGAAAATAGGGTTGTTTGATGAAATTAAATTGTATTATGATTATAGATATTCGTCAGCGTGTGAGGCAGCATGGAGAATTTTTGCTTTTGGAGAACGTCCCCTATCTGAACCACTGTCTTTATGAGATCTCTTTGAAGTATTCAAACTCACTCGGACGAGAGGTTGACGTCCACAACCAAACTTCCTTCTGGAACAGATATGAACCCGCTGTCAATCAACTGTTGCACTTTGGCTTGTAAGGCTTTCCAATCTTCAGTTGAGTTCCCCATTAATCCTTAATGATATCTATATTGCACATAGGGATTGTACCTAGGAAGGTATGGCTTTGGAACAGGCTTCAGAGACTTGGAAACCACTAGTAAGTTTTGGATCAGATACATGAAAAGCTGACTATATGACATATGAACTGGATGAAGAGGTGTGTTCCTTCTTTCCAAGTTGTTGCGAGGCTTATGCTAGCTCGGATTCTGATTCTGATATCCTCGGTCATGGGCTCATTGATTTGCATGAGGAGCAATCCAATGTTTTTGGTACGACGCTCTTGGCATGGTTGGTTGTCCATAAGGATAACATGGCACTAGAAATGATGACTGCTGAGAAGATGAGGGACCATGAGGTTTTTCTGGTCCATCTTGAGAATACTCGACATCTGCCATGACTGCATTAATTACATCCTCTTTGTCCTCTTAAGAGAAGTTGAAGGATTCAATTTTGCAAGCTTGACTGCTCAAAGCATCTTGAATTTGTTCGTTCTTAAGGCCTCTTTTGTTGCGTTCTCCAACCTTCAGCAATTCAGAGAAGTCAAATGATGTAATTTCAACCATCCTTTCAAAGTATGGGCTCTGTAAGGTATCCATGAACATGTCGGCTAACTCTCTGTCTAAAAGTGGTGGTTGCACTCTAGATGCCAATTCTCTCCACTGATGTGCATACTCCTTGAAAGATTCACTACTCTTCTGAGATAGGCTTTGTAACTGTGTGCGACTGGGAGCCACGTCCAAATTATACTGGTTTGCTTTAGGAAAGCACTTTCTAAGCCCATGTACCAATTCAATGATACCCCACTCATACTGTTTTGAAAATAGTGAATCATCAAATTATCATTGTGGGTAAAGGAAGTCATTCTTCGGTAGAACATCACCAAATGACGCTTTGGGAAACTAAAACCTATGTATTTCTCGAAGTTGGGTACCTTGAACTTTGGAGGGATTACCAAATATGGCACTAGGCACATATCAACAACATTAAGCCCAGGCATATCATGTACTTCCATAGCTTGGAGTTTCTCCTCAAGGGTATGGAACTTTTCCTTCATAGGATCAGTCAATGGCATCCTCTAGGATTGAATGGGAATGTTCGCTTGTAGAAGATTATCATTAGACACAAGATCGTACAATGGGTTGGTCGTCATAGTAAAGCCTGGTGGAGGCTTAACATGATGAAGTTTATTCCTTGACATGGCTACCAACGAATACCCACTTAGCCTTTTTAGGTGTCTTCCTTGATCCTGCTTCAAACACTTTGTCATCTTTCAACAGCTACTACTTGTTTAGAACGTGTACCAAGAAATCAGCTGGCTGGTCATGGACAAAGGCAGGATGAGTTTTCTGTGGACATGGCATGCAATGCTGATGAATGCAAATGCGATGGAATGGATACAATGAGATGACATGTTCAATTATTTTTTAGGAATCTACATACTTTGGTTCAAGTTTTAAGCAAGAGAAAAGTTTAACAACAAGACTCAAAGATAATATCCTTGGAAATAAGAGGACATGTATGTTACAGATATGATATGAAGCCATGAATGCAAGAACATGGGATCAAAGTTTTCACATATACTGGACAACTGTTGTACTGATAACGAGCTAGGTTCAAAATTTCGCCTCCATAAGGAACACAAGAAAACTGGGTAGGATGGAAGTCAAAGTTTCCTGCAAAAACATCATTCCCTCTCACATGTAGATTCTAATCTTGAACAAAAGCTTCTAATAGGTCCTTAGCTTCTTTGGCTCTTAGTTCGAAAAGTAATAATATGTTCACCGCTTATGGTTTAACAATATTACCCCTCAAGGAGGCCTCCACTTATTTCCAATGAACGGTCTTCAGAGTCATGAGTTCTCTATGAAAACATTATGTATATTGCATAGGCATGCAAGACAAAGATGTATCCAAGAAAAACCTCGTATGTATGTGGATCTCGTGCCAACTATATGTATCAAGCACTACACAAGTTAACACGACTATCCACCCTATTCCTATGTGTATCCTCAAGCTTGGATAGTGGGCTTATCTTTCAACAATACCCATCCCAAAAGTACAACAGTATCCAAGATAAAATGAATGGTAAAGATACAATGAATGCAAAGAATAAAGCAAATAAAGCATAAGAAATAAACACCCAATTAAAAAGAAAACAAACAAGATCTAGGACTGACTCGCTTAAGTTAAAAGTCCCCAGCAGAGTCGCTACGAGAAAAACAACCGACAAAGACACAGAGTCGCCATCGAAATTTATTTATCCCAATGAGAAAAGAAAAACATCGATAAAACCTCAGAAGGAAACGGACATGGTCATCATAACCAAGTTCGGGGTTTGGGAGTCGATTATGCAAGAGGAGGGTATTAGCACCCTTTACGTTTGTTATACTCAACAGGATTCACTCTTGTTGTTCTAATAAAAGGGTGTGTATATCTAGAGCTTACTTTCTAAGGGAATGCATGAATGAAAAGGGAAAACAAAAAGGGATAACAAAAAAGGGCTCGCCAGGATCTCGCAATCTTGTGCCTACGTATTCCCTTGTGCAATGGGAAAGTCAGAGCAATCGTAGTTCGGAGGACTACGATGGAAAAAAGGGAAGTTTTCCCACCAAGGATTGGGGCCTTTGTGCTTACGTATTCTCAAGTGGTATGAGAAATCAGAGCGTCCATAGTTCATGGGACTACGGTTGGTGTTTTTTTTATGGACGATAACGTTCGCGTTCTAGCAGTTAGGTGTACTGTCGCTCCCTCATAGTCTTATGTGTTACCTCTTCTTCTTCTTTGATGGATCTCAACTTTACTCTCTCTCTCTCTCTCTCTCTCTCTCTCTCTCTCTCTCTCTCTCTCTCTCTCTCTCTCTCTCTCTCTCTCTCTCTGCGCGTTACGGTCAAAAGGAAGGCAAATTATATGCACTAGAAACTCGAACGTCGACGTGTTGAACGGAACGAAACAACGAGAAAACCATCTTGCGGTAACATAGGGGACGCGATAGCTCTTCACTGACGTTGATTTGAACTCCGGTGACACCGATTTTTCTGAGTCGGAGACCTAGTTTATTGGCAACACGTGAAACGGATTTAGCGTTCCAAAATCGGTGTGATCCTGAGAGGCAATTGAGGACGGATCGATAGTGAGTGAGAAATTCTTTCTTTGAAGAAGAAGCCATTGCTATGATGGATGAGTTTGTGGTGTCAGGAACTTGCATCGTTCAGTACATCTTGGTGCAGAGTCGAGGTCTGTATGCAGCAGAGGATTATGTCGTGCAACTTCGCGTTGGATTCGCAGCTCCATTCTCCTATTTTCCTTTTATTCAAATTGTTGTTGTTGTTTATGGCTTTGTCATAATGATGACGATGTGGGTGGCTTGTATGTTTAGTTATGTTGCTTTATATACACATGTTGGTCTTGGTTTACTATACGTAACAAAATGAAAAGTTTCTTTTTAAAACTTAACTAGTAGAATACCCGTGCTCCCGCACGAGTAAAACTAACGTGTTATGATAGAGATAAATTTTTTTGATATATATAGAAATCATTGCACCAATGAAATAGTAATTCAAAGAAAAATGAATTGCATTACAATTAAAAAAAACTTATCCAAAATATCCAACGTATGAATAATATCATAGTTATGAACAAAACTTAAGTGCAAAATCAACATGTCTTGCAAACCTTAAAATATCAGCAAGATTTTTGCAGGCAATCCAGCTTGAAAGGCATGTATATGTATTTTTAAAGGCATAAAGAATCAAACATGGTAAGTAGTGATGATGCATAATATTATTTTAAGAATATATGTTAATCTGCTTGTTTTAAAACAAATGTACAACATTGCAATTGCATGATCTACTTAATAAAATGTAGAGATCATTGTATTATTATGTTTATAATATCATTGTGTCATGCCAAAAGACGTGTAATTTATAAAGAAAGTGAAGATAATATATCCCATATTTTAATGATTCATCATTTCCTTATTTTATCATGCAAAAGATACTCCAATTACAACTCTCACCTGTTTCTTGACTGTATATCACTGCCTAGGAGTTTGGTTTCGGTCGATTTGTCATATAGTACATGTTTTGGCATTAAGGTGGAATTGCCTTAATTACAGTGATTTAGCGTGATTCTGGCAAGATATTATGCTACAAATTAACCAAACATGCACCAATCCTATGAACTAATATATGCAGGACAAAAATTTCAACACCGATTCACATGAAAATCAACAAACTTCATCACTCACTCATAATTGAAACCGTTTAATCTACCAGATGTGGCCTACAATGTTGTGCCACGGGGTTTCGCATTTAACTACCAGATGTTGCCTACAGCATTGTGGGCGGGTTATCACTGTCCACAACAGATTTGGCATAGGAAAATATTATGAGTCAGTAGCCAAAGGGAAAGGGCATGAGATGATCCAAATCTTTTCGCAAATGGAGTTGTGACTAATAAAAGTAAGAAGAGCATATTGTCTGTTATATTCACAAAGATATGAAACCAAAAGGTTAATATAACACTGCTTTTAAACATGAAGTAGGTAGTTTCTCAACAACACATCAATAGATAGAGACATATCTAATACACCAGTAGATAGACTAAGTTGTTGATGTACTTAACATTACATTAATGAAGTCAACAAATTAAAAAGCATAAAAAATGGAGGCCTGCATAAGATGATCACTCCTTCTTGATGTGCTTAACCTTCGTTGCAGATTGTCATGGAGTCAAGACTTCATCTTGGAAAATGCCATCTAGAGTGGTTGGGACAACAACCCTCTTAGAAAGGGTGTTGCTAGAGCATGTCAACGGGCTGCAATAACTCTTGGCAGAAGTGGGTGGTACTACAGAAAAGCTTTGATCAATTGAATTGCTTGGCTACAAATGACACAAGTAATTTGTAACTACATAATGAGTTATAATAAGCATACTCGTATATAGTGCTGTTAAGGACATATGAGTAATGAGTTAGACATACAATAGATTCATTTTGAAGGCCGAATCCAACATCAGTGTCCATGACCGATAATGCTGCTTTTGAAGTTTGATGGTACCATATGAGTTACAAAATAGATTGAATAATAGATGATTATGACAGTAACTTATACTTTCAACAAATATATGATTAAGACAGTAACATAAGTCATGCTAAAGAATACAACAAACCTTGTTGAGTTCACAAATTTGGCGGATACTCTTGACCTTATTTAGTTGTGTCCATTTTGTGTTAGATTGTACAAATGAATCCGATGTTTGGGTGAGAGAATGAGACAGAGAATGGTTGATTGGGTAGCTGCTAACCTGTTGCATCATATAAATGAAAAAGACATTAAGGTTGTGCAAGTAAACTGTGAAGTCATAAAGTACAGAAATAATGCATAGTGTAGATGACAAAGGAAAACCATGAACATGGAAAACAAAAACAGAGGGAAAAAATAGTGCAGTAGGATTTACAGATCATGAGTTTATGTAATATGAACACAAACATCATATCAGTTACATATGAGAACCATGAAAGAGAACAACTTGCAAAAAAAAATAGACTTGCAGGTATACAAACTTCATATATGGACAGGAAAAAAAACTTCATAGGATGTGCAAATTTCATATATGGACATGTTTAAACAACACCAGTTAAAGTCAGGCCATAAAATTCTATTTCATTATAACTTTGCTCCCGTCTACAACTATATAACCCAAGCGGCATCCAGTTTTTACCATTCAATCCTTTATAACTAAAACAAAATACGCTGTAAAGCAAGGTCATTTCATTGCTATATATAATTTATGCTTAAACATCACATACCTTTAAGATAAGCCATAAAGAATAATAAAGACTTCAGTTACTTTGCAATATGACTGTAAAATTAGTATTTTCACTTAGAATCAAACCAATATTGATGTTGTAGTTGTAGCAATATTCTCAACAACATCAAATGGCAAATGTAAAAAGAATTATTCTGATTGTACTCAGTATTCAGTATTCCTTCCGAAACCGGTCGTGTACTTAGTATTCAATCTCATACTATTCAGGTTTTTCTTTTTAATTTCAATTCAGTATTGTATATCTTTTTGAATCTGTGAATTATTCTTATTGATTCTATAGGCTAGAATTCACGTTTTCAGGTTATATTCGAAAGTAGGTTATTGTTTGTTTTGTATTGTAGAGTGAATTCTGAATGTTGTGGTTAAGTTGGTTTAGTATGTATGATGGTGACATTTTGGATTTATTTGCTGTTACTCTCTCAGGGTTATGTTTGAAATAAATCAGTTGTTTTTCCTCTGCCACTTTTGGGCTTTGATGTGGATCCAATTCATTCTGTGCAGTTTTCTAATCACACAGGTAAGTTTTTTTTATAGACAAATGCTAGTTGTTAACTATGAAGCACGGACTCCCTGAACACGACATTGACACTGATACGATGACACCGGTAATATTTGAAAAAATGAATAAATTAAATATAATTAGAAGTGTCGGTATATTTTTTTCAGAGGTGTCGATGCTTTAGAGGTTATTGTTAGCTATGAAGCATACAAACATGGACATCGGATATTGGCGCATATGTAAACACATGCACCACTAATAATTGAAGAAAATGAAAGTAATTAAATGTAACCACGTGTCTGTCTCCAATAGTGGAGACATCAACGATATAAAGTGGCCAGTGCTTAGGTAGATTGTTAGTGGAGTATGTTGGTAGTTGGAATTTAAACCCTTTACATTGTTCTTAATCACATGCACACCTCTTTTGTTTCTTCATCTTTCAAATTTTGGAATCTCGGACCTTATACATGTTGTGCAAGGTTATCTGGAAAGGTTTCCTCTTTTTAAATGAGAGTGGAATTTTTGTATGATGGATTTGAGGATTATGCAGGGTATCCATCATTCAAGGGCCAGGTTTTAAATGGACAACAACTCTGGGAACTAATTGAAGGTCTTGAAGCTAATGATTTATTGTACTACACTCACTTATCAGGTATTATTATTATGATGTCAAAGACTTTTATCATGTTTGTATTAATTTAATTGTGAACTGTATGCTTCACATTCCCTCACGAAGTGAACTGTTTCTGCTATCTGATATAGCAGCAAAAGTGGGGGAAAAATAAAGAGAATTTTAGGTTTTTAAATATTTTAAGTTTTAAGTTACCTTTAATAGTGTTGTCAAATAGCATAGCGGATTTTAATGAATCTTCTACGTAAACCACACTGCTATTCTAGTTTTTCTATAGGGAAATAGCATCCAATATTATAATTTATGCTAGCTGATATAGCCACAATAACGGGGAAAAAAGAAGAAAAATTACCATTAGTGTTGTTTAATAGCGCTTTTGATGAATCTCCTACGAAAACCGCAATGCTATCCTAGTTTCGCTAATGCTACTCCAATCTCGGTTTGAAACCATATAACAAACTGCCAATGCATTTAACTCATTTTCATTGATTTAAAATAAAAAATGATTAACCATATTTCCACTCTAAAGACAGAAAAAGATATATAGTTAGAGGAATAAAGAAAAAAATGCAGAGTGGCCCAAAAGAAACAATACGAACGCAATATGGAACATGATTATAAACATTGTCTTCTCACCATGGCTCTAGCTTCACAATTATCCATATGTCATCTCTGAGTCTGATGCTGCCATGGCTCCAAAAGTAAAGGATGGAGATGATCCATTTGTCAAGGAGGTGTTTCTGCAAAAAGAATACAAAGTCTTTAAGTTTGGTTTTTTATCTTCCTTTTAATCGATCCTTTAGTACAAAATATTTTAGATATTAAAACTTAACAACAAAAGAAAAAATAATTAATCAAAACCAACCATACATCTGAAAAACAACAGCTCAAATGTTTTTATTGCACTACTTGAAATATGCAAACTTATTTAATATTATTTTGTGCTAGCTAATGTTTTTCCAGTAAGTTAACATGGAAAATTAAAAAACCACCAGCACCAAGTTTTGGGTGCATAACTATTTATGAGTCAAACCACTTTTGGATGTAATAAGAAACATGAAACTTAAGCAGCGAATGATAACATGGAATTGGTAATGCTTTAAATCAATCATTTGTTCAACAGTAAGACAATAGTAAAAAAAACATCAGTAATGATACCATTTCCATTCTTGTTCAAGATAAAGTAGTATCTCATCATAAAAGCTTGGTAACCAATTGGAGAACGATATTGTAGGTGAAACAGACTGAAAATTCCCAACACTCGACATTCTCTCCATTTCATTCTTCTCATTTGCAGACTTATTATCTCGTTCTCTTGATTCAAAGTCTTCCCAAAGTTGTTTAATTGGTTTCAAATGTACCTTTGAATATTGAGATTCCAACGACTTAAACCTTCTTATTCTAATGAGAACTCCACGCAAACCTTGAGCAGCATCAACCTAAACGACAACAATAATAACAGCAAAGAAAGGGGATCAATTCAAATCATAGGATGTAAGAGCATGGTTTCCAAAGTATCTGTAACCTTGCAATTGGATAATGCATCGGTAAGACGAGGCTGCACCATTGTGTCTAGCCTATCCTCCAAGACTTCATGCTACTTTCTTATGTTGGCAAATTCAGCAACCTAAATATAGAGTAGAGTGTGTGTGCAAAAGTGAAAACAAAAGTATATACAAAAAGTAAATGTACCAAAACTCATGCACTTCATTAGATAATCAAAAGGGGGAAAATTAGTACCTCCCCGACAACAGACAAGCAATGCCTCATATTAGCCAGAGTTTCAGCAGCACGAGGGAGATCACCACTGGCAAATACATCTTCCACTGTTGAACTTAATTAGGTTAATCCAGCAGCATCCTGTTATTAAACAACAAAAGAAGCAAGTTCTGGCGTCATTATAGTAAATCTGAATGTGTTGTAACAATATTCAATTCAGTACCAGTACCTGCAATGTTTCATAAGCAGCTTCCATCCTCTGCAAAGTTTCAGTATCAAGATTTTTTTCCTTAGTTATCAATGATAGCTAAGAAATCAAAGATTCTAGAGCTATGCATCACAAACTATAAACAACACAGAATAACTATAAAGTTTAAACCAATTAAGGCTGCAACATCAAAAGTATTACTGTAAAACTTATTTGGTAAAATGTGTGTTAAACAGTGTATCATAGAGAGGCCTCCATTCAATAGTCAGTGCCATCTTTACCGAATTTGGACTAACAGATGTCAACATATCTCCGAATTTGCACTACAAAGACAAGTGATTTAACTACAAAATCCACATAGAAAAAATCTTCAATTGAAAAACATCACGATAGCTATATAGAGCAACTCAATCTTTTACCGGCAGTGAGTAAACTTGTCTGTCAAATTTTACGTTCAAATTTGAGTAAATCTTTTACCGGCAGAAACAGGATAACTTGTTTTACTTATAACTCAACATCACAACAAACACATTTATGCAAATTTTTACATCAAGATTTATTGTTAGAAATAGAAGATTGTTCATTTAAATACAACTCACGAAGAAATAGAAAAATATCAACATACCTTGTAACCAAACTCATGCAAATGATGAATAACACATAAAATCCTTAAAATTATAAATACAAAGGATACAAACACTCACCTTGAATATAAAACCCTAGTTGTCACAAGATCTACTTTCCTTATCCATCGTATCATCTGCGTTTTTGGTGTCTTCAATAAATATGCGGTGTGCTTCGTGAACTGGTCATAGTCATAATACATGTTCGCACACAGCAGTACTTTCGTGAATCTCCATATACCCATCGGAGTTCAACATTGAAAAGTGGAAGGAGAAACGAAGACGAGAGTGGGGGGAGGGGCGGCAGCAGCGATGTAGGGTTTTGAAGGGTTGATAGAGAGATGAGAGAAAATGGGACAGGGAGAGGAAAAAGTGTGGGACGATGGAAGAGGATTTTGAAATTGAAATTGAAAAATTGAGAAGGTTTATGTGGGAATGAGAAAAAAAATTGTGACGGAATATATGAATGACATTTGGCAAGAGAAGAGAGTGTTGGATAGATTTAATTTGGCATTTAGTTGATTAGTGTTGTGGCCTTTTGCTAGTGTAAATTTAGTGTAAGGGAAGGGCAAATTGGTATGTTTAGGCAATGTTTTTTTGAAGTGTTGATAGTTGATAACTAAGTATACTACATAATGATAAAAAACAAATATTTAAGTGTTATATAAAAAAGAAAAAAAAATTGTAAAAATAAATTAAACAATTAAAATAACAATGCACACGCTTCAATTAGGATATTACTTTATGTATTTTAAATACTACTTTATGTATTTTAGATGTTACTTTATGTAGTTTGGTGCTACTTTATGTATTTTACATACTTGGTTTAGTTAAAAAAAATTTAAAAAATGGTAACAACGCACGCGTTTGTTAATTTAAATGACTAAATTATTACAAAACAAATTTAAAGATTAACCTGTTACAAACAAATAACTTAAAGGATCTTTGGTGTAATTATACCAAAAATAAATATAAAAATATGAACCCGCCTGATCAAAAAACTCACCGATTCACTGGGGTCACACCGGTTTTCATTGGATCAATTCCAACTTTAATTTGATGATCTGGTCAGACTGCTTTACTCTCCAGTTCACAGTCAAATTGGTCCGACCGAATAGAACGGTCCGAGATTTAAAATTGCCTTAGACAAAAGATTGAGATTGTAGTAATAAAAACAAAATTTTGACTTAAAGTGTAACGATGTTAATGATGACTTAGATATACTCATTAATCTTAATGAGTCCATTCATGAGTCAAAATCCGGCAAATTCTGAATCGAACTCGTTTTAGTTTTTATTATTATATAAACTCGTTGCATGTTACCAAATAGTACTATCTTTTTACCTCATAAACTATTTTATTATTTTGGACAATAATGAAAATTTTGATTAACAATTCTCATGCGATCAGTATCTTTTTTATCACTTGATTAAAGTAAAAACGTTTTTCCTTTTTTTTTAATTTATATTCCATATTTCTTAATATTTTCTTAGAAGAAAGTCGAAGATTTTTAAAAATTTTCTTCAAGTCTTTAATCTCTCATTTAAATTTTTTTTACTATGCAAAAAGTATACATATTTATGCTAGCTCTTAGATCTATTTTATAAATACATCTAAAACTGTAAAAAGATAAAAGATTATGGTTAAACTTTAGTGTAATGTTATTGTTGTGAAAAATTGTTCACAATACATCTAAAACTGTAAAAAGATAAAAGATTAAGGTTAAACTTTAGTGTAATGTTATTGTTGTGAAAAATTGTTCACCTCTCCACCATATATCCTCACACTAATCGAGACTCCTTCTATATATCATGAATAGTTTAAATATAAGTAACCCTAATCCTTTTTTTTCTAGGGTTTTTCACAAACTTTATCAGATTTCTTCTCCAAATCAATAAAAATTAAATGCAGGTATCCTCCCAAACATAAAATCAAATCTCTTTTCTTAGTCTTCTATTCAATCACTATTTTTCAAAACTTCACGACATAATTCATAAGCTTAATCCTCGTATACCTTACACAATTTTATCTATCCTTTTGTGCTTATATATCGTAATTAAAGTGTTTATTCTCCATTTATTCAACATTTGCTTTGATCTCATAATTTCGATTAAAAAAATTGATGAGCCACTCAATGTGAACAGATAATAAAAAAAGAATCTAAAATTATCAAGAGAAATCAAACCAAAGTATCACATTATGGAATCAATCAAAACGAAAAATTCTTCAGAAATACTGTTACATGAATGTCTTACCTCTAAAAAAAATGAGGCTAGAAACCAAAACAACTGCTCATTATTTGAGTACAACTCTTCTAGACCTTTTCTGTGTCTTGTCATCATTTGATAGATTAAATGCTAATCTTACACTTCATACAAAAAGGTTCAAATTGTATGAACGAACATGTGATATAAGATTCCACTAAAATTTGAGGACGACTCTGTTTTCATCTATGCAATATGCCCGGCTAAGGTAAGGATCTTGACATGCTTCTTCCGCCTCAACTCGTGAGGAACTGGTCCGAAAACTCTGGTCCCAATAGGCTGCCCTTGTTTGTCAACAAGCACGACAGCATTGTCGTCAAACTTGACCTCACTGCCATCACACCTCCCTTTGGGCATTGCTGCACGAACAACTACGGCAAATACAGTTGATCCCTTCTTCACTTTTCCATTAGGATGTGCTTCCTTCACTGATGCTTTTATCATATCACCTAATCTCGCTCCTTTCTTCCCTTTCAACGCGTGTATGCACATCACCTTTTTAGCCCCAGAGTTGTCCACAACCTTCAGAACAGTCCTCATCTGTATGAAGGTCCGCTGTTGCTGCAAAAAGACAGACATATTTTTTTCTTCAGGAAAGAATCATACCAATGTGTCGATGAACTAAGAATAAATTTGTTTTCAGAACTCGTGTGTCTGGAAAATTACTGCTGTTTCCAACAATCTTGGTTTAAGTTTAGCAATACCGTGTTTGGCAAGCATAAGAAAATAATAAAGTAAAGGAGATTATAATAATTGAAACACGATCGTGCAATTGATTCCTACACTTACCTGAGAAAAATAATTGTTGCATGTCATCTCATGTGACGTGGTAAATAGACCAGGGGAACTGTTGCTTAATCCACCGAACAGAGAACGACCCACTAATTTGGTTTTTCAACACATGAAACAATGAACAAATAAATTAATAGAAATATTACTAATAAATTGAAAAAAATATCATCTTATCAACATAAAAGTTCTCGAGCTCGTGAGTGACTTGTAAATAGAGGGAGGGGAGTATCAGTGGCAGGAAGGCAGACCCGATATATACCAAGATAGAGTTAGGCAGCTTAATATATGAAATTTCATAGTGGTTGCAATATGTAGTGGTTAAACTTACAAAACAATATATTGCAAAGGGAAGAGTTTATCAATTCTCCATGCTCTAGGGAGCAAAATCATCATGTAATAATGAAGCGACAACATGGCTAGAGTAAACTAACGATTCGGACATTACCACCAAAAGTTGTGAAGACAACCTTTGGAGGAGTATATACATCTGCATCATGGGTTGTGTCTGGAAATTTTGAAAAGACAGAAGTACAAGATTTAAAATATAACAAATCAACAATCTTTTTTATAAGCTCGCATTCAACTTCAGATGAAAATGACATTTTTCAATGGTCTTGGAAAGTTGGAGCAATTCATAATCATACCTACTTACCTAGTTCTGTAAGAAGCCGCTAATCAGCTATATATAAAGACATTCCTGTAAGAATTTGAGGCAGGTGCCGAATCATGTAAACTATGTGTCCTTTGTTATTTTCTTTGCAATGTGTTTGTGTGTGTTCCAAATATTGACCCTTTGTTAGTGTGATCTTTCTCAATACTCACAAAACCGAGAACACGGAAATATCATATAAAAGTTCTAAACGAGATGAAGAAGCTTGTGAGTTTCATAATCCTAGGCTGCTAATGTAAAAGAAATTCAGCTTAAGGCCAGCCACATCTGGCCGTGTTCCCACCCAAATCTCAGTGAAAGCCAAAATTTACAAGAAAACTTTGAGACGCCAGAAATATGAACTTTTGCCTGGGTAGCAACTAAGGAAATTCAATGTTAAACATTTACCTAGTTTAACAATATCAGACTTTCGGTCAGTGTTATCAAATATTCACCATGGCGACGCTACGGCAGATAAACATGGTAGTTTTTGGGCTCGCCACAATGGTAAATATCAGTTGATATTGCAGGTTTTTCCGCCATAACAACGCCACAAAGTGACCAGTATCGAAGGGTTTTGGCTCTCCGCCATGGACCGCCGTCGTAAGAATCAAAATCATTAATAATTGTGATACTGACATTAAGTGCAACCAAAATTGTGGTTGCATCATAGATTCAACCTTTTATAATCCCAATAAAGATCATCAAAAACACCAAAATTGACATAAAACTTCACCAATTTTCAACATATAACAACAAAAACAACAACCATAAATGTAACAAAATGGGCTTTAAAGTTCAAATTCAACTAAAAAAACTAATTTAACATGAGATTTTGATTGATAAATAATTAGGGTTGTGAAAAATGAAACACAAGAAGAAAACATAAACCAACATACCACGAGAACATCTGGAAGCAAAGGTTGCAGCCATTTTCAAAAGTTACAATCTTCTATATTCCCTGAACAAAACCAAGAGACAAAAAAAAAACATGAGATTTTGACACAACATGCAAATAGCAACACTGTTTGGAAACAGGGTTTCATGAAAGAACATGAATCGCCACATTATAGAATGTTGAAAACAAGGTTTCATGAAGAAGAAAAGAAACAGAAAATCAAATTGACCTACGAGGAGAGAGAGAGAGAGAGAGAGAGAGAGAGAGAGAGAGAGAGAGAGAGAGAGAGAGAGAGAGAGAGAGAGAGAGAGAGAGAGAGAGAGAGAGAGGTTACGAAGTCGGAGAAGAGAGGGAAATGAGTGTAAGCAGCGGAACCAAAGTCACGAAAGATGCCGTCACATAGTAGAAGAAAAAGATGATTTAGTTTTTTTTTTATTTATTATTTTAATAAATTACCTTTTTTTCTTTTAATTCTGAAATTGTAAATATTGTCAAATTAAACAAAATATACAAAATTTGTGAAATAGGGTATCTACTTGTGTTTTTCTCCTTTGTGACATTCATACGAAGATTTTACCTCATACGCCTACATTTATACCCACACTCTTACACTAAAAAATATTGGACAAAAATATCCTTTCTTAAATAGTATAATTTTAGAAATTTTTCATTTTCACTTCATTTACATTTTAAGACTTTCGGAGAACTCAATTTTTACCTTCAAATCGGAACTCTTCCAACAAGTCATCCGAAACGCATTTTTTCACCAACACATACTGGAACTCCACAAGTAAGTCTTTCGGTTTGTTCATTTTTCATGTTGTTCACCGGAAGACTTTGTTTATGTCTTCTGGTTTGTAGCTTTTTTTGGTTCCTTCACCGGAAGACTTAATGCATGTCTTCCGGTTCATGATTTTTTGATTTTGTTCACCGGAAGTCTTGGATTAAGTCTTCCGGAACACACGTTTCACGTTTTGTTCACCGGAAGTTTTAGTTCAAGTCTTCCGGTTCAATTTTTTTTTCATTTTTAATTTTTTTAATTTTTTAATTTTTAATTATATTTTTTAATTATATTTTTTATTTTTTATTTTTAATTATATTTATTTATTATTCTTTTTTTAATTTTTATTTTTTAATTATATTTATTTATTATTCTTTTTTTAATTTTTAATTTTTAATTATATTTATTTATTTATTTATTTTGTCAGTGGTGCGCACACCAGACAGAGATGGTAGGATCCCTCGTGGACTAGGACGGGGCGAGTCGTCGAGAATGGCTAAAGAATAGCATTTTGATGCATCTGCATCAGCATCAGCATCCGAGCTTGTTGGATATCCATGAGGACCGTATGATACATCTCTGTTAGTTAAGTATGAAAATCATGTTGCTAGACGTATATGGTTCGGTGAGGTAAGTAAACAAAAATATTTAATATTGAATAGAATTCGAATTTTTAATATTAAATTTTATAATATATTTACTTTTAATTGTTTTTAGGAGAGAGGGTCGAAGAAAGAGTTAAAGGTAGCAGGACATGGATTGAAATTGATTCAGAGGGTTCCACTACAGCTACCTAGAGAGATGGAGGGATGGATATCTAGGTCTGGTCTAGCTTCACTCCAGAGAACGAGTTTAACAAAGATAGACACGAACCTAGTTTCCGCATTTGCAGAGAGATGGCATCTAGAGACATCTTCATTTCACATGTCGTTTGGTGAGATGACGATTACTCTAGATGACGTATCTTGCCTACTTCACTTGCCCATCAGGGGAGTATTCTGGAGCCCTCAAGATATCAGTGAAGCGCTTGCTGTTGAGTGGGTTATTGATTACTTAGGAGTGTCACGGAGAGTAGCACAACAACAAGTCCGTGAGTGCAGGGGTTCCTACTATAAGCTGGAGTGGTTATATGATTGGTTCGTAGAGCACAGAGTTGCATCTCGATGGGATTATGCCACTAGAGCTTATTTGCTGATGTTAGTGGGTTCCACTATTTTTGCAGACAAGACGTTTACGCTTGTCAAGGCACGATACCTCTCACTGTTTATAGACTTGGATGGCTTACCAGGATACAGTTGGGGAGCAGTTGCGTTGGTTACTCTTTATAGATATCTCAGAGTTGCTTCCATGTTCAGTTGTAAGCAACTTGGTGGTTATCTGACTCTCCTACAGGTATTTATTTTAATTTAGTATATTTTGTTTTAATTAATTTTATCTAGTATATTAATTTTATTTATCTAGTTTATTATGTTATAATTAATTATTTTAAATTTAGTAACCATATTAATTTTGTAACAGTGCTGGATTCATGAGTATTTTCCAATACTTGGGAAAAGAGGAGAGAACTGGATACCAGCTAATAATGTGGCTCTCCCTCGAGCGATGAGATGGTCCTATAGGCAAGGTGCCTTGAAGGTGGATGACTTGCGGCCTATTCTGGACGAGCTGACACCTGCCGATGTCATATGGCACCCATTCGAGAATCATAGAGTATGGCGTTAGTTTGATGAGCTATGTATATATAGGGGGTGTCTGAGGTGGGGTGACACTATTGTTCCATACTTTCCTGACAGATGTATGCGTCAGTTTGGATACAGGCAGTATGTTCCACATCCACCTCTTGATTCTCGAATGGCTGGTGATATTGATGTTGACTGGATTAGTTACCATCAGAGCGTTCAGAATGTGATTCGTCCGACAGCACTGACCACCACCCCATATGAGACAGATGATGGGTATCTTGAGTGGTATTATTGTGTTTCGCATCCTCGTCTGCTACCGCCCAGTGTTGATGCGACAACAGAGATGCCAGTTCCTGTATATGAAGCAGGACCATTTGATCCTATAGTGGCTCGTATGTCTTCATTGATTCATCGTTATCTTCAACAGTCTGGTGCTGAAGAGGATGACCCACAGTTTGCTGATTTGTTCGAAGCTTTACATCTTGGTCGATCACAGTGACTTATATTTATAATTATGGTTATATGTTAACCTTTAGACTCATTTGACCTAATTGGTTTATGTTCATGTGTTAACTTTTAGACTCATTTGACTTATTTAGTTTATGTTTATGTGTTAACTTGTAGCGTGAAATAAAAAATGAATAACATAATTCACGATTCATACTTTGAAATTAAAAATTAGTAACATAATTCACAATTCATGTTTTGAAATTAAAAATGAGTAACATAATTCACGATTCATGTTTTGCAATTAAAAATGAGTAACATAATTCACGATTCTTGTTTTGAAATTAAAAACGAGTAACATAATTCACGATTCTTGTTTTGAAATTAAAAATGAGTAACATAATTTATAATACATAATGCGTTGGTAATATAGGCGTAAGTTGTTGCCAATGTTGTAGACGTCCTGCAAATCCTATCATCCAAGATGTTGGTGCTGGAGAACGAAACTTCTTCCAATCTACTATCACTGGTGGCAGTGGAAACCCTTCTTTCATGTTTACCTAAAAAAAATAATCACAATATTAAGTAAAAATAGCGAAAAAGAATTAGGTTTAATCGCATTATCTAAAAACAACTAAGTACCTAAACCCAATGATTTCTGTTTACAAAACCAACGCAGTAAATTGCTACATTCGATGAAAATGAAGATGTCATAGGGAAGAAAGACCAGCAATCAATTCCTAAACAAACAAGTACAACATTATAACGATTCGCTATCACGTAACCCATATATGGTAGAGTTAACCATTTATGTGGTGGTTGAGGACCAAATTCCTCTATCATCAAAGATTCTCTCACTACTGTTAAATGATCAGTAAATAAATTGACATACAAACTTGATCTTTCATTATGTATTATTTCCAACCCCAAGTCTCGACGAACCATTGGCCAACCATCTTCACCATATCCATGCAATGAAGCAATGACTCGAAATCCACAATTACCATCTGATACAACATTAACTACATCATCAATATATGACCTGATGTGATTAGGAAATTGAAGGATGAACTGCTTAGATGACTGTGAAGATTGTGATAGTTTCAACTTTTTCGAAGCCTGTAATGGTTGAGATTTCTTTTGTGAAGACTGTGATAATTTCAATTTCTTCGAAGTTTGTGATGGTTGAGATTGCATCTGTGAAGATTGAGATGCTTGATCAACATACTCGTGATACGAAGGGTCTCTATAAACATCATATCCTATTGGTTTTTTGTCTTTATTCTTGACTCCCCCTTTAGTTTTTATTTTCTCAGGTGGTGGACACATAGAAGTCATTGTAGGGAAGGCAAGTTCAAAAACCCTACTTTTTAATGCCCTTTTCCCAACAACATCCAATGACTTAAACCTTTTCCATAACTCATCTATTGTAGGGGTGAGCAAGGGACGGGTTATGACTAACCCTAACCCTGTCCTAAATTTTGATCGGGCTATTTTAATGACCCTAACCCGTCCTAAACCCGAAAAAAATCCGATAATATATATATATATTAATTTAGACCGGGTTAATGTAAGACGATATCGGGTTGACCCGAAATAGATGAAGAAAAAAATTGAATAACTTAAGAAATTTAATAAAGTATTTTAAAAAATAAGAGGAACGTGTTAAAGTATTTAATGACTTAAGAAATTTAATGTAAGATCGGGTTAAAGTATTTCACTTGCTCAATTGCTCTGTTACATTAAAAATTACTATCCAAATGGTTTTGATTTCGTCGCGAAAATCGTTCCTCATATATGAAAATTACAGCTGAAACTTGCAATTTTTAAAACTCCCAATTGGAGAATACAAACAGTTGAGATTTGCACACATAGAATCTGGATCCAGAATACATGTACCTGTATGCAATATGGCATGATTTGTAACTAACTACCATTCATTCAGTTTAAAATTGTAGATGTGTCATAGCATATTCATACACTTTCAAATAGAACGTGTAACTCCACAGATGTTCAATCTCAGCCACAACAATGCATAGAAAATCAGCTTCAAAGTAGCTAACATAGCAAGCCTTGCTTAATCTCAGCAAGTTTCAATCTCTCTAAAAATAGACTCTTGAATAAA